ACAATAAAAGGTGAATCAAATGGACCATTACGGCAAGGCTGGGATGGTCAGTTTGGTAAAGTAAATCCGTTGGGCATCTTTCTTTGCCTTTAGACAACAATTCTGATGGCAAAAGAGCCAAACGGGACAGGCAAAAATAAATAAATAAATAAATAAATAGATGAATAAAGATATACAACTTAAAGTTTGATGTTTAATTATTCGAGCTAGGTTTATCTTAAAGTAGCTGCTCAAAAAAACATTTATATTACTTGCCGGTGATTCAACAAGCAGGTATTTATGTGATTGTCCGAGTTATTTGAGACACTTTTACTCACCGAGCACAACCAGTTTAGACTCCAAAGATTTGATGTGAATGATGTAAAAGGCACCGGCAAACACAGCCAAGGCGATCAGTAGCATGGGCGAGCTGATGCTGAAGAGAGGAAACATCAACAGTCCAATCGTTTATTACAGTGTATCAGCTGAAAATTTAATTTCTTTCTTTCTTTTTTTACTACCGCTTCCCTTTTTCCCCGTTTCTCATTGGCCTAACCAGATTTATGAGCTCCGAACAAAGTCGTGTTTTGGGCTTACATGCAGTAGAGGATAAGCCCCAAGAAGATGAAGGTGTAGTTGCTGTTGTAAATTTCCACATTTTTCACCACCCTCTTGCACAAGTCTCCAAAGTTGCGGGGTTTTGAAAACTTGCGCTGGTCTACAAAACTGGCCCAAGGTCGAATGGATAATCGGCGCTTGTCGAACCACTCTTTAGCCATGCTAGCTGAGATGCCTTTGGGAAGCCAGAGCCTACGAAATAAGATGAAGACATTAAGAACCAGAAACATTAAGAGGAGTTATGACATGTGCAAAATTTATATTATCACTTGGTGGCTCATTAAGCTTACAAACATTAGTAGCAGGTATAACAGATGCAGAAGCACATGTCAGCTCTATTGTGTGATAAATCTGAGATAGACAAACACATTTAAACTCATACTTTGCCAGGATTCCTGTGCCTCCTGTGCCTGTGGGATGAGCATCCTCAGCTGTGAACAGATCTCCTGCCTTGCTGTCCATGTCCACTTGACAGTTCTCCCCCTTTGGCACTCCAGATGGCATGTACACAGTCTGCTGTCAGACAACTGCAAGGAAGAAAACACAGAATGTAAATACCAGTTGTAAAACATTTCCATCACTAATTCTCAAGTCCCTCTAGAAGCAAATCTCACCAATGGATAGAAATGTTGAAATGCCACAGTTATTTTGATTCTAGGAAGTTAGGCAGTTATTTTGATTCATTATCAAATTTTAATTTTCATCAAAATGTAAAAACTTCCAAGATTCAAAAAGACAAAAGATAAAAAACAAACAAACACTACAATTAAACTGACTTGGTCTCAAGATAAGGTTGAAAGAAAAAAAGCTTTCTTCCCCTACACAACAACACTGGTGGATGAAGTAAGACTCACATAGGTTTAAAGTTATGATTCTCTGACTCATATTTTTGCTGCCAATGCCTTTTATTTTTTGTTATTCCTGAGCAGCTCATTAAAAAAAAAGTATTTTAAGCTTGACTATAATAAACCTCGATTAGCAAACCAGATTAAATTTATTTCAGGGGTGCCAATTTGTTTTTATATACACACAAAAAAAATCCTGCTATGCAATTTTACACATACTTATGATGTTGACTCCCAATAGACGTTTATATTTAGCAACATAAGTTGTTTTAAACCATCATATTATAACACCAAAATCTGGGCATGAAGCTCAGTAGAAGTAAGATAGAATACATGTGACTGAAAGTGAGGCAGACGTAACAGTGAAGCTGGAAGGAGTGGAGGCTCAGGGTCATGGATGTGGAGGATATAATCAGTGAGATAGAGGAAATCTGATCTGCTGTGGTTACCCCTAAAGAGAACAGTCAAAAGGAGAAGAAGGGCACCATTCTGGCACCACTTAATTGATTCCCTCTCTTTGTTTATATCCATATAAATGGTTAACTAAAGTATTTATAAACAGGTCAGCCAGTGTAGAATGAAGTTCGTGACCAACACCAGTTTTTATATTCCTGCATTTCTCAGTCCTGTCGTTCCCAGAAGTTGAAGAAACAACACTCAACACAAAAGACCGAGCTTAGCAACAGTAGGCAGAGGAAAATGTTCGTCAGCAAAAGGGCTTGGTCAATGCCACATCATTAAACATACGCCCGGATATTCGACAACATTTCCAAGGAATACTCACTTATTTTATTTTTAATTTGTCAAGTATCCTAACTGAATGACATTTCTAAACCCCGGTATGTAGTCCATCATAACTCCTAGTTGTTCTTAATAACTCTTGTTCAAATTCTGTCGCAGCTAGCTTCTCTGCTAATAACCACTCCAGTCGAAGCGGATTTATGATTTTATCGTAGCTCAACTTTACACACCTAAATAAAATGAACCGAAATAAAAATGAACAATATCAACTGCCAAATTTACAATGGTTTAATTACATATACTCACAGCAGGAGATGAGTTTAATGGGACTGCCTCAGACCTTTTGTTGCTGTTTTAGTTTACGGATATGATGTGGCTCTTATTTGCCTTCCTTGTTGTTGTTCCTAGCTGCCTTGGTTCCAAACACCGCCACCTACTGACACCATCCAGCAGTTTTCCCTCTGCTACGTTTGGGTGTAGCCTGCTGCAGTACATATTCTTGTGCTTATATGCTTATGGACACTACGCTGCAAAGCTCGCTTAAAGTACTGATTTGTTTTTGTTTTGGTTTGTTTTTGTTTTTCATGTGGAAGCTAAGACAAAAAAAGTAAAACGAAAAAAAAAAACAGAGGGGGGGGGGGACGGCCTTGAATCAGCTGTCTTTACTGACTTGATCAATACGATAAAGTGACTGTTTATGAAAAACTGTCTTCAGATCAGTTCAAAAGATCAGCGAGAGCAAAAACGTGACTGGGTGTCGCCGTGGAAGTCAGGGGGCTGTGATTGGTCAATTCCTCAGCGTTGACGTAGTGCAGAACTGCACGTTGCTGTGGAAGTTACTAGATCATTCAACCCACCCGGAGGTGAGTCGCCCCCAGTTACTTTGGGTTTCTTGATTATTATCCCGTTAAAATGCTTTGAATATTAATCTACTGGTGCTTTTTTCACGCTTTCATGTATGTGACCCAATGCTCGTCGATACTACAGCCAATTTAAAGCTGAAGTAAGCTAACGTTAGTAGCTAGCAAGCGATATCCATTTCTGTTCTTTGTATTTATCGGTAATGCATATAGAGGAAAAATATATACATATATTTTAATCTTATAATTACTGTTATATGTTTCAGTGCGTATATAGAAATGTAGCACACCTGTTAATTTCAGGTTTGTTATTTGGCTAAACCGCTGTTTGCATTGCAGTTCTTGATGTTTGTTATGCTTTTTTCCACAGATAAACGTGACTGGTTACATAACTTGTCAAAGGGGAAAATTTTGCTCCACCGGTTGTTACTGGGCGTCTGAAGAACGGCTAATATCTTTGGCTTCCAACTGGTTAGTGTACGTTTCTGAGCGTAAATGGAAATAAAGTGGTTATAAGGGGGTTCTCCGTTACGCGTTTAAAAACTGTTTCGAGCTGAGGGTGAAAATGGTGAAAATGGCAAGGACTGCTGAGCTAGCTGATGCAGCCATATAATGGTAGAGACTAGAGAACGGGCGTAACGCTGCAGTATTACGCCAACATGATCATTGACTGTGTTACATGGCACAAACGGCTTGCTATGTTTTATAGATGAATACAGTTTAGTGGTTAATGCAGTTTATATGTAGCTACACGGGATTTGTTGGAGCGGCGTTTTATAGCTTAAACAGCGACACAGATGACATTGTTTAGTGTATGTAATGCAATTAAAAGTAGGAGTATAGAACATGGAAGGAACTCGAGGTCAAGCCTGTTAAATGAGAATTGCAGCCTTTACAGGAACGCTGAGTACAATGCATTATGTGTACTGAAAAGTAAAAATGTCAACAAATGCAGTGAAAACAGCCCCGTTTCTCTGACATATTGTCCAGCTACCTAGTTTTTACCTGAAGAAGATGTCAATGTCTCACTAAAAGCTTCATCATCCATTGGTTCGATTAGTTGTACTTTGGCTACAGTTACGCTAGAGTTAAAGCTGCAGGTCCTCTAGTGAATTTGGCTTTCAGGCTAGAAAATATGGCACACTCTTCAGCTTTAGCTCAATTTTTGTTTGACCAGGTGTAAATGCAGATTAGATGTGTTGCTTTGGACTTTGCACTACAAGTGTTAGAGAGAGTTTTTAAAAAAACATGTAACTACACCTGAAAATGCTTTCAGCATTCTACCGCTACCTTTGCCCTGTCATTTGTTCCTCTTCAGTATGTAGCATTATTGACATCTTGCTTTCTTTCTTTCTCTAACCCAGATTTTTTTTTTTCTGGCACCAGAATTTGGTGCTGATTAACAGTAGCACTGACATATTTTGGTTGGTTCCCTCAACAGCACCAGCTCAGTACCCAACCCTACTTATCTGGTTTATATGGTTACTCAGATGTATCTTGTTAGACATCAAAAAACTTTAATAGTAATTGTTCTTCTATTTGTTTTTGTAGTCTTATCACTGGCTGAAACGTGGGAAAGGTCCATAGCCAAATCCTGACCATGGCTGCAGTGCATCATCAAGGGTACCCACTCAGGGATTCACTGTACTGGGATGAAACAGAGTGCCTCAACTACTATGGGATGTTGTCTCTCCATGAAGTCTTTGAAGTAGTTGGTTCTCAGCTGACCGAGACTGACATTGAAGTCCTGTCATTTCTTCTGAATGAAACTTGCTCCGCGACACATCCTCTCGATCCCGCAGGCTGGACAGTTGAACCCCGTGAGGACAATCCAGATGATCCAGGTGTGGCCCCAAGTCCACAGCTACTAAAAGCATGGCAGCAATTAAAGCCTACGGGGTCACAGCAGCCCTTTTTGGACCCAAAACCCAAGAGTGGCCTTGAGCTGTTGCTACAGCTCGAGAGGAGAGGATACTTTAGTGATGGAAACCTGGCACCACTACTGCAACTTCTAAGAGTCCTTACCCGTCATGACCTGCTACCCTCAGTGTCCCACAAGAAAAGGAGGACAGGTGAGGATCTTGAGATTATGTCCTGCTGTAGTTGATCTCAAATAGTTTGCCATTATGTGTTTTTTATGCTTTTCAGTTTCTCCAGAGAGAATTGGACAGAGGTATGAGATAGAAAGCACAGAGTCGGTGTGTACTTCTGGAATAAGTAGCAGCTGCAGGGAGACTGAAACTCCTCTTACATCTTTCGCACATCAATTAGAAACTGGTAAGTTTACTGCTCTTTAGTATTTGGCCAAACTGAAGTACGTTCTTAAGTGTCTTCAAGCTGATTAATGATGATTTGAAAACGTGTGTGTGTGTGTGTGTGTACCAGATTCTTTTGTGGTTCAGAATTGGCCTTCTTTAGCCTGATTGACTCTGCTTATATGCAAAATATAAATTAAGGCATGGAAGCTGCTACTTTTTTTCCCACATAAATCGGTGCCTTTTGTGTATTTCTGACTATTATATATGTCAGTGATTATTATCCTAATTAAAATAATAATATTTAAAAACAATTTTTTGGTGGTTAAAACCTTTTTTTTTCTTCTTTTTTTTTTTGATCGGTGTCTTGTGTGGGGAAGAACGCTGTGTACGCACCATGATCTTAACAGGGATTTTTCTTGTTGAAAGTTGTGATCAAATATCAGCAGTAAAATTTCGATGAAAAGCTAAAAATAGTCCTTTGCTGTTATTTTTGTCTTGCATCCCTGAACTCAGTCAATATGTTTTCTGTCAGGTATTTACACTCCTGTGGCTGGGCCATGTGCAAGTAGGCGGAGGAAGAAGAGGGGAAATGGCTGGAGCCGTAAGTCCAAGAAAACAAGCAGGCAAAGTCATCCTCTGCCTCCACCACCAGCGCCACAAAAAGTGTCCTGTGGTAAGTGCAACTCATGCATTTTCAAAGTGTCTTTCTTTTTATTTATTTTTTTGTTTTTTCTCTTTTGTCTTCTGTGGTACCTTCATCCTGCTATTTACCCCTGCTGCTCATTTTTCCTTCTTTAAACAGACGAGCATATAATTTTCAGCCTATTAACACCTCCCTGGCATCATCATATTTCCTATTTAGTTTCTTCAATTCTGATGTTGTTTATCTATGCTAAATCTTGAATGCCAAAATGTTTAAAAATGCATAAAAGCGCCAAGTTCATGCTTAAGAAGATTCGTGTTTAAAAGTTAGCATACAATTTAACATGTTATTTGTAGACTTGGGAGAAATGGACAAATTAAATAGCAGTAGGGATGGTAATTGATAAGAATTTAGTAATTCCGATTACTTTATCGATTTTGCTTATTTATTCGGTTCCTTATCGATTTCTCATTGCCTCCACTTTGAGAGTCGCCAGCACTTCTAAGCAGCATATCAAATTCATGCAAATTAATTGCGTACGTAATTAACTAGGTGGTGAAATGTTTGTGCATGTTGGAGGCATTTCCCCTCTTTGTTGTGATCAGTGTTGGGGTCACTACTCAAAAAAATAAATTTAAAAAGTTGTTGCACATATTTCACAGAACACTTTTCTTAAAAGTAATGCAGTACGTTATTTAATTACTTCCAGGAGAAAGACATTTGTTATACTACTTGTTACATTACTTTAGTGTTACTCTGTAAAATGATCTGAAACTGACCGTCTCATAATCACAAATCCTAATAAGGACAAACGTGATCTTTCTCTTAGTATTTAGGTATGAACACAAAGCCGACAATGCAAGTCGAGGATAAAAAACCATCACCAAGAGACTTTAAAGCAATCGTCTTGGTGATTCCACTGTAGAAACGGAGACTGCAGTATGACTGCTCATCAGTTTGTTACCTGTTGAAGTTCAGCAGTGGCTGCTTCACCATAACTAATGGCTCACTTTATCATGGTGCTGGGCTTAAGTCAGCATTCACTCAGCTTTAGCATCACTCTGAGTTCCTCTTAGTAGGGCTGCACGATTTTGCATAAAATGAGAATCACGATTTTTTTGGCTTAGAATTGAGATCACGATTCTCTTTTCCAATATAAATATTTATTGCACTTATTAACTGCACATCAACTTCGTAACAGTTGAGACTGAACATAAAAACAATAAATAAACATAAAAGCAAATGTCTCACGTTTTGTTGTTGTCGCAAAATGTTGTACTGCTTGAAATTCCGTCTCCACCGTTGCTCGACGCTGCGTGTATAGAGCAGGTAGTGCAGCAATAGAAAAATAGTTGCGGGACGGCACTGTGTAGCGTTTGTCTAGGGTGTTGATCATTTTCCTAAATCCCTCGTTTTGCAGAGTGTTGATGGGAGCCATATCTTTGGTCAGGTGATAAGTGATAGCCTCCGTAATTTCTTTGTGCCTGCGGGAGTTCGACGGGTATAGGGAAGCGCTGTATAAGGTTCCCGTTATTGATGTTTGGGTGGTTGTCCGGGACGGATTTTCTCCTGTCACTTTCTGGTCATCCCTGACGTGCTCTCCGTTGTTTTTTCCCTGCTAATTTTAGCATCACACGACAGCTTCTGTATCACGTGGCATAAGGCTCCGCCCTTGTCATTTGTTGAGCAGGAAGAGTGAGCGCTTGTTTTCATGCAGAGTACGTCCCGGATCAAAATGCAGTACAATCGTCGTTGTGGTTTTTTTTTTTTTTTTTTTTTTTTTTTTTTTTTAAATCGTTGTCATTTGGAAATGAGATCGCACATAAGTATGAATCGAGATCGCGATTTTCTAACGATTAATCGTGCAGCCCTACCGCTTAGCTTAGCGTTAGCATGCTGTGCTTGCGGAATGTTGAAGTTGCGTTAACAGTATAAGGCAGTTGTTTCTGTCCCAGTCTCCACTTTACCATTGCGCTCTCATCCTTTTATACAATAAAAAATAAAAGAAATGTCCATATTCACGTCATAAACTGCACTACTGTTTTCCTCCTCTTACACATAAACTAAATCAGCTGAATGTAGCAAGAGTGCAAGAACGGATAAGCAGGGTCGATAGGCAGGCAGACTAACGATTTGAAGGAAGTAGACTACTGGGAACCAGTTCTTGACAAGAACCAGTTCTCGATTCCCATCCCTAAATAGCACAGAGCGGTACACTAGATTCACACCTACTTATAAAAATGTGGAAGATGGTGTGCTTGCAAAGGCCACTGTACTTTACCTCTTCGTGGATCTGCACAGAGTCCAAACATGTTCCAGGGTTGAGGAAACTTTTATTTTCCTTCTGTTTTGTTTTTCAACCCAGTGTCACATTTGGTGAAAAATCCGGACTGCAATATTGCCTAAAGCTCTCTGTGCTGTACAGACCACAGCACTCATACTTTTTATGTTAGTACCAAATGTGCTTGAAAATCCTAGAGCTACTTTTAAGTCTGAGAACTCAATGTGATGCGCTTCCCTTTGATTTTTTTTTTTTTTTTAAAGCATTTCCACATTATGTTTTTGTTGGTACACTATGATCTTGTTGAGACTTAATGATAACCCTTTAACTGTCGTTTTTAAACATACAACATCAGAGTTTTGTTGCCTTATCAGTTTCTCCCTGTGGGAGTCCTTTATATTCTTTTCCCTTCATTCCACCTCTTTTCTCTAACCTTTTGGACTATGTTCAGCTGCTGCTGTTGATAAGAATGCTCACTGGTAGGCTGTGTCTTGTCCTTTTTTGTTTTTTGTTTTATTCCCTTTTCTTTCAATATAAGTGTCCAGTCCAATCACTACCAGATACAGCCATTGTTCTGCTTTATTGCTAAGCTTGAACCAGAGTGGTTCTGACAACTGTCAAACCTTACATATCCCCCAAAAATCACTTTTTAGCAGTTGTTTGAAACTGTCTTAACGCCACTGAAAAGCTGCACTATGTAATCCATTGTCAACGTCCTTGCCCATATTTCCACTACTACCTGCCTTTAAGAAATCAATGGTAGTTTGTCTTGGTACAAAAAGACAGATAACACTAACATCAGTTTCCCTTTGTGTGAAGTTTGCTTAGTCATTCATGTAGACTTTCCCAAACTTCTTTTGAATGTCCATCTTTGCCTGTTGGTCAGAAATATTCATTACAACAAAAGCCCGATGATTCTCACTTCATTCAAAAAATAAAAGAAGAAGAAATCATTAAGGACAGCCTTTCTTAGCTACTCAGGATGAGTGATGTGCCTGTGACTATGAACTGTTGCTGTCTTGACTCCACATTTGATTCCACCAGGTTGACTCAAGAATGTGACTCAGATCGAGTAACCTAAGACACAATGGATCATGGAGACTGAGGAACAAAACAAAAAAGTCTGTCACTCCACTCTGTCTGCACATACTGCAGTGTGCGCGATCAACTCAGTCATGCGCTCTCTCACAAGTCTGGGCCGATGCCTAAGGTAAAAGAGGCTCTCCCCCTTGTTACAGCAGGGGTTGGTGCTGCCACTTTGCTCTGTATACGATGCTTGTGTATCATAATGTAGCTGCTCCTTACCCTGTCTCCTTCAGAAAACATAATCTGCTTTAACAGAAAAAATCATCCTGTAATGTTCTCTAGTCTTGTGCACTGTGGAAGAAAAAAAGCTTCTATTTGAGATTTTTAGCTTCCTGCCTATTAATGACAAGAGTTATTGGTGTCAGTGTTTCACAGAACTACCAGAGTCCTCAGCAGTAAATCTCAAACCCAAAGACTGTACAGTGATCTTGGGAAAACCTTGAGTCAGTTTGATTTTACTCAAAGCATACCGAAAGGGGAAGCGTGTAACGAAAGTATTTTAAATTCCCCAATATTTGAAATCACGGGAACTTAACATATTTTCACAAATATGTCCAGCAGAAATTCCAGTAAATGTGAGTAAGGCTTGGGAAAAGAATGAAACTAACTTCTTCCAACCAGATGACCAGATGCTTTATATGGGCAAGAATAAGACATTGAATTAGGCATAGCTGAAAACCTTTAGCTGTAAAGAAAACTAAACTGTTAGCCACACTGACAACATAGCCACTCATCACATTGTCTAACCTTAATTTACGTACACAACCTGGGAAACCAATGCAGCACAGTTCAATCTTACAGGAAAATTAAGTTGGCAGCGTAGTAATCGAGGAAAAATACAGCAAGTATGTGTACTGTCAGAGTCAGTCTGTCCTCCATTTTAGAGCTGCCATTTCAGATGTTCCTGCAGAACTTTTCACAGTTAATTAAACTTTTCATCGTATGAAGGGTGGTGAATGCCTTCGTTGTACAACAGCCAGTTCTCTCTCTGGAAAGACCTAATTGGTCAGTCTCTAGTCATGGGCTAAAGCCTAAAAAGAGAGCTGAGAGAAGTTGCACAAGTCTAGTTTTGTCTTGGACAACATGCAGAAAGATTATTATGGAAGCTTACAGAAAAATGTCTGCTTAACTTTGCTACTTTAATAAAATTCAGTAGCCTGTCAAAGAAGCCACCAGACTTAAAGCAAATTGCTCCAGCCTACTATTGTTCAGTCTGAATGATTCATATTCTGAAATGGCCACTGTGCACCAGCCCTGACCTTTGCTCATGTTACACAGTACAGTTTCTAAATGTTATTAAAGAGGATGACACCAGATGAAATCATGAAAGTTTCAGTAGTGGTGAAAGTTTCAGTAGTAATGCAGAAGTGAAAGCTGTTCTGGTCATGTATTAAGAAAACGTAATGTCTGATGCCTAACCCAAACAGAGATTTAGGTTATATTTGACTGAGGTCATGGTGAGATAAATTAGGATTTACAAAATAAAATTAGAACAAGTACACTGAAGAGTTTAACTCAAAGTGGAAACAGAAATGTGTTGGACATGTTTGTGAAAATGCGAGTCAGCACTGCATATGAACCCATTGGAGACGTGCAAGGCTTATAAATGGCTGCCCTGTGAATTGAACTGACTCATATTATTTTGGCAAACTGAAACATCACGATGCCAGTTCTGGATGCTCAAGAGACAAAAAATAAAATAAAATCCTAATTGGGCATAGAGTCCTGTTCTGTAAGGCCATGTATTCAATTGCACCAAATCTAAAATGGCTGCCAACAGACAGCTCTTTAAAAAAAGAAAAAAAGAAAAAAATGTCCATGTAACCTTTACTCAAGCCGTTCTGGGGAAAATCACCGAACAGTGCTCTGCTGAAGGAAGCTCATGCTGTATCTTATCTCTGTGCCCTGTGAGAGCCCTGGTGTGCGTTTGTCAAGACGGAGCAGAGATAGATAGGGCAGTTCAGTCCAATGCTGGCCCATAGCATTTGAACAGACCTCAAATACTCTTTCTTGTCACCATTCATCATCTCTTAGGTCATTTTCAGTGAAGTATCTCAATTACATTCTGACAATGACAACTGCTGTTACAAATGTCTTAAAGGTGTTTGCACATTCAGCTCAGTAGTGTTTTTGTGTCTAAATGGGGTGCTTGTGAAGGCCCTTCCTTGGTTTAATGAGCACTGTTGATTAACGGTGCGGCACAAAAAAAGGGCCGGAAGGTAAGGTTAAGAGATTTGGTCAAGGTAAGGGTAATCCAAGTATCCCATTTAGATTTTACCTTGTTATAGTTCAGAGCAGTAAATGCATTTCTGAGCTGATTAATTTGCCAATGCAAACTATTGGCCTTACTGAAGCCTCATTAAAACTAAGAAGTGACTGCTGTGCCATGCCTGCTTGATGTTGGGGGAGGAACAGTCCATTTAACCACTATGCAACCCACTTGTGCTTGTCTGTTTCTCTCCTTTGTCTGTGTTCGCAGTTCTAAACAGAGCACCCTGTGTGTCAGGAAAACTATATCCTCACACACAAAGAGAAGGAGAGAATGAACAGTAAATATTCAAACTACACAAAACGGTACAGAGGATTTATGTTTTTTTGTTTTTTTTTTTAACTATAGGGAAAAGTTCTTCAGGCAGACACAGATATTTTGCCTGTCTCTCAATACCCCCCTAACTCTCCACTCTCTTGGTCAGTTGTTCAACAGAAAAACGGATCGATAAAGAGTTGAAGCTCTCCGTGCCAAGTGACTCCTCGTAAATGGGTACTTAAACTTTTTCTCTTTTCCCCCCTCCCTCCTTTTGGTGGGGTGAGATGAGGAGCCAAACGGACTTGGTGTTTAAAGTGAGAAAATGAAAGCTGTGGTTCCTAATGTCCTGTCTAAGTGGATGTCTCTATGTGTGATGAAGCGTGAAGTGCTCTGTAACCCTAACAAAATGACTATCACTGTGTTCCTGTGCTTTTAAATGGCCTCCTCCTCACTGTCACTATCTCTGCCTCCATCCTCCTCAGTATGAAATGGGAAGGCAAAATGGAGGACATCCATAAATAGAGTAATTGCATGAAGGGCAGGTGTTTATTGTACCCTCAGCCCTCACACACTCTATAATGATCCAAAAAGGTCAAATTGTTAATGGTGCTCGAACTTCATATTTTCCTCTGTCCATACTGAATATTGTATAAAGTTAGATTATGTGTAGTCTGTTTAATCTTCTATGATAGTTCATACCTCAAAACACAAAAATGCTCAAACTGCAAATTTATCCATGTGCTTGCCACAACGATGGATACGTAATCTTTTTTTTATATAACTTCATTAAATCACAATGGACTCCTGCTAGTGATCAACAAGTGTGAGTTTCGAAGTCAACAAAAATCTGTTGGGGTGAAAAACTGTAGCTTATTGTGTTGAAAACGTGTGTGACTCGGACTGCAGCGGGTTTCCTTCAGGATTTCTCAGGAGTTTTGCTGCATTCAATTTACCCTCTACCGTCACAAGCTGCTGCAGCGAAGTCTCCACACAGCATGACGCAGCCACCATCACACTTGTGGGGATAATGTGTTTGTAGTGGTGAGGAGTTACTGACTTGTGAAAGCAGTGGGCAGAATTCATAAAATAAGCCTAATTCCACGTGGATCCTCCACTTTTGTAATGCCAGCTTCCTCTATAGTAGCCCGCTGGTTTTATAGGTAGTGTTTCCATGTCAGCTTTAGGATTGTGTAGACCTCCTGTAGACATCTTGTTTTACATTCTGTGATGATGATCTTTGGTGCAACAGTTTTTCTATGTGTCTGGCTTCTGTATTGCCAATGAATTTACCACAAAAGTTATTTTAGTCTAACATAATTTATTGAAACATTGTAACACAGACATGATTTAATAAACAAAACTTGAACTATAATCGAAGGTTTCTTTAAAAAAATCTTGACATTTTATATTTTTGTACCATAAATCCCTTTTGAAGAAAACATTCTTCCTTCATTCAAATGATTTTCATGTAAAAACTACACATTTTAAACCTGGCTTAAAATGTGTTGATTTAGTGTCCCCTTCTAACAAGTCGTCTGTTTTTGTAGTAATCTAATTACAGACTTGTGGGGCATGAATGCAAAGCCACTGTTTGCTTATTGCTCTTCTACAAATGTTAAGAGATGCAAAATCAATGGTTTAATTCAACATTTGCATTTCTAATGTTGGCATTTTCCAAACTTTATCCCTCTTGAGTCTCGCGCCATTCCCTATAGCCCCAAACAAAACATGGCTGCAAGAGGGGTGGATGTGACTCTCAAGTCAAAGCGTGTGTTAAAGTGTACACTAATCCTCTGGTACATACATGAAGAAGAGTTCAAGACAGTCTCGTAATCATGCTTACCTTATACTCTGGGTTTTTGTCAGAGGCAAGCGTGAGTTTATTAGAAGTACCTCTGGGTCCATTTCATTCAAACATTTGTGATGTGACCATGTGCTGCTTATTCCTTCAAAATTAAGTAATTCATGTTGTAGCATTTAAAGCTGATTTGATTTTTTTTTCCTTTGAGCCATTTTGTTTATTTTTAGTCACAGTGCTCCTTTGTAAGTTTTTTCTTTTTTCTTCCTTATTTGCTTCATAAAATGTCATCATGCATTCAGATGCAAATATGAAAAAGCAGCTTCTGCACATGAATTCAGTGAGACTCTTAATGCGAATGTTTCTGGAAGAAATGTTGCTGGTAAATACTGTTTACATCTGCTAAAGGGGTTTGAATGGGAGAAATGGATTTTTGTTGCAGCAAAAGTCGTCAGAAGCTGATTTCCCACTTGGAGCTCTGGATTAATGACATGGGAGATGATCTCAGCGTTGCTCTTGCTCAGTACAGTATGTATCCTCTAATCTTTCTCGCTGTGCTGTTGCATGACCACCAATCCTGTTACTACGGAACTCCAGACGCTATCTATTCTCAGCCTTACCCATTTTGATCTGAATGAATCTGCCCTTTATAAACACCTGTCAGGAACAAAAGCCACTCCCGGGCTTGTCACTGCTGAGTTGTTTTTGTTACCCCCGCTGCGATATTTGCTCAGGGTGCCAAGTTCATTTATTCATATTCAGTATACAAACGCTACAGCCGTGATTTATGAGGACCATGCTGGCTGTCGTACAGAAAATTCTCATGCACCAGCGTCTTCTGATTCAGTCATGTTGCTAAAAACGATAAGTACCTAAAAAGGAATTGTCCATCCAAAAAAAGAAAAGGTATCTACACAGCCGGATGAGCTAAAGACGATTTCTCTCAGTGCTCTGAATATCTTTCACTGAAACAGACGAGAGGGGCTTGTAGCTGTATTGAGCACAAAAGTTCACATGGGTTGGTCTAAGTCCATTGCCCTTCGTAAATAATTTGCCCTGTTCCACCACCGTATTCACTTACTTTGTCATGATTTGGTAAAATCAAATATTTAAGTCCAGTTAGTACTCCTACAATCTCTTTTTGCTTGATGTCTTGCACAAAGTTGAATGAGCCATCTTTTAACATTGTTTTCATGTTTGTTTGTTTCTCTCCCCCGTCTTTGTTTCAACTTCATCACTCCTCCTTTTCTGTCATGGGCCTATCCATTCTTTTCTCTTTTTTTTTTTTTTCCTTTTCTGGGTAACCTTCACTTTCCTCCTTCCTTTTTCACTTCCCCTCTGCTCTTCCTACCATTACTCTCTTTCCTCACTGCCACTCACCCTTTTGTCCATCATTACTTCCTCCTCCCTCTGCCATTATCAGATATCCGCCTGCGTGTCCGGGCGGAATACCTGGAGCATGAATCGGCATTACGCAACGGCGTCGCCTCAGACAAGCAGCAGCCACTGGAGCGGCAGTTTGAGTTGTTCAGTCAAGCGAGTTCGCTGCTGCGTGCCAGAGACCTGGGATCCATCGTCTGCGACATCAAGTTCACGGAGCTGGCCAACCTCGAGGCTTTCTGGAGTGACTACCTGAGCGGAGCTCTGCTGGAGGCCCTGAAGGGAGTATTCATCACGGACTCTCTGAGGAACGCAGCGGGCTCCGAAGGCGTGCGCCTGCTGATCAGTGTGGACCAAGACGACTACGAGGAGGGCCGAAGGCTGCTGAGAGCTAAGAAAATGATGTCATCCAGTAATGATGGGCACCCAGAGACTCACTGGGATTCATAAACTGATCAGACTCTCTGGGGTGTATTATATTAAACTTAAAGAAGAGAAAAGGGAGGAATGTAATTAATAATGGGTACAGGCAAGCTTGGAAGCATTTGAGGCCTCCATTTGTTGCATTCCATTTAATGACCACTAGATGGCAGAACTCACCATTGGTTCTTTTGTGTTCATAAGGAGCCTTTCTTTTTGCCTTTTCTTTTTTTTTTTAGAACTGTCAAATTTTAGTTGGAAGTGTATTATTTGTAAATGAAATAAATAATGTATCACTGTATTTTTTTTTTCTTTGGATTCATGCACAGGTGCTACATCAGGATGACACAGGATATATCGAGATTTTTTTTCTTAGTCTCTGAGAACTGGAACAAGCAAGCCTGTGTCACCAGATCAAGTGGTAAGCCCCTCACAGCTTTATCTGTCTTACAAAATAGGGTTATGGCAACTGGGCTACCACAAATGATGTAAAATACTAAGTTTTGGTTGACACAAACACATAAAGCACATGGGTGTCCCTACCTCCTTATTTAACTAACTTTTTTTTTTTTTTAACGTGTAACCATGGACATTTCAGATTCCAGCATGAGTTTAAAATTCCCAAATCCAAAAAGCTCAATTTAACCAGAACGTCAAGATTGACTGTTGGATACTTCTTTGGGGGTTTGGAAAATAATAATAGCTTTAAATGACAATTATTTTTATTGGATTCTGTTAAAAGTATAAAGTAACCTTCCAATAAAAGTTTCTGGTCTTCAAAGAAAAAATTAGATGTGGAAAAGTGGACTGCTCTCACAACAGATTGACCCAACTTTGGATAGAGTCCACATCTATATCTAGATAACAAACACTGGAATTTCCAGCCCTGTGTACCATGATAACCCAACTTGTGATTGCTGTGGTCAGTGGATACAGCAGTTGCCAGTAGATGACAGCAGTGATTAGGGCTGGGTCTCAACAGACCATGGAAGATTCATCATCACAAGCTTGTCAACGGCAGCCCGGATAATGCAACAGTGGCTTGTGTCCGGGTTTCCAGCAAGGCCTCAGCAAGTGCTTCTCTCAGCAAGTAAGGCACAGGACAGTGCATCGGTCAATAGAAGTGATGTTGGGGAGATCAAAATCAAAAGTGCACATCCCAGCTCCACTCAGCCCTGCTATGTAGGCCCAGTAGAGTGGCTCATGGACAGCTGTCGACTCACCCTGCTGGAACTAATGCCTGGACTTCACTCATAGAAGACGATCAATAAGCCCCTTCACTCTAAGTCCCTTCATACAGGCACGACTTAAGCAGGCAGACACTGTCTGAAGTGCAGGTCTCTGCAGGACCGGGCACAGAAAAGGACAATGGACAGATTTCCATGTTTACTTTTGTGTGTATTTGTTAAAGGAATTAATTAATGTGTGTTTGTATTCTTTCATGAGAAGAAAGATTAATTCAATCAGGGGAACATTTTTGTTAAAGAAATTTACTTTATGAAGGTCAATTCTTTTTGTGGAAATCTTTATAAATAAGAAATAATTTCCTGTGAATAATAAAGAGTTTTGATGGCCTAAAGCTGTTTACATTTATTACCTGTTTGCGTCTCTGAAACTATCACCACTTGTAATCTGAAATTGTCTCCCAACTCTGAGGTTATTTTGAGCAGTTGTTTGAAAATTACGTGCCCTCCCCCTGCCCTGAAATGGTCTGAAGTGCTCCATTGAATGCAGGTCATCGTGGATCATGTCCTTAATTAGTTCTTGCTTTAAGATATCGGCATGATGAAACCCAAGAATAGCGTGTACCTCTAACATGTTAGTAATTCAACTGCTGTTTCTGGTTTGGCCACTTTAATTTCTTCTTCCATTTATGTGCTAAATTAATTGGACATGAAACCTTTTTTTTTTTTCCATCTCTAACATAATTTCCTATTGATGGCACCTAAAGTGTAACTGTAAATAATAACGATATCATGTTTATTTAAGGTTATTTAAAGCTTTAACATTTAACCCTCCCATATTGATCATGTTCTGTCCCTCCACAAAAAAAACAAACATTTGTTATCACAAGCTATTGCTTCACACTTTACTAAGACATGAAAGCCTAACAGCAATAATTCATGTCATGTCTATATTTTAATATTATTATATTCAAAGTGAAAATGGTGTGTAGAACTGTTAGGATCTATTATATAACCTCGTATAACCATTACATGGTTGTACAATAACATCAGAAGAGTTAAACACTGGTCTCACTTCTATGTCATAAAAATGTCATAAGTGCAAGTTATAAATACAAAACTTGACCCAACTAGTCTGTGGATTCAAAGCAGTGGTAAGAAACCTTGTGTGTGTGTTTTGAACACACACACACTTGCTGAAATGGCAGCTCAGGTCCCTCCATAGTCTTATGACCCTCACAGTCTTTCTTTTTATGTCTGTTTTAATATCGGCTCAGAATAAATAGATTATTATTTGATAAATGGCCTGTATTATATAGCGCTTTACTAGTCCCTAAGGACCCCAAAGCGCTTTACATATCCAGTCACCCACCCGTTCACACACTGGTGATGGCAAGCCACCCTGGCGCGCACTGACAGAGGCGAGGCTGCTGGACACTGGCGCCACCGGGCCCTCTGACCACCACCAGTAGGCAGCGGGTGAAGTGTCTTGCCCACCGACACAACGACCGAGACTGTCCAAGCCGGGGCTCGAACCCGAAACCTTCCGATTACAAGGCGACCTCCCAACTTTTGAGCCACAATCGCCCCACCTTTATTGATTAATGTTTGGTTATTTTTACATTGTAAGGCACTAGCAGGCACACAGCATTCTTGCATTCATACGGTGCTATTCTAGTCTTAGTGACCAGTCGCCACAAAGTGCTTTTGACTACAAGCCACACTTTAACCTTATATTAACGCAGCACTTCATTCTATACACTTCAGGCACCATCTACCTGAGAAGCATCTGTGGACTGTGTGAGGGAGTCAAAGTAGGACAAATGTGCACTCCACACAGAAAGGCCACAACCAGGATTCAGACCACAGACCTGGCTATGAGGTGATGTTGTTAACCACTGCAGCGCTGAGCCGCCCTATTTTGGAGCTTGTGTCCATGTCAAGACATTGGCTGAGCTCTGTATGACTTCTGTTCCTTATGTGAACCCTATATGATTGATTCTACAGTGTTTTACTATTACACTGTCCACACGATCCTTCAAAGACCTGCAGGTGCCTGTCTCTGTGGGAACAGACTTCTCATGATGGTGTCAAGGTCCTCCTTGAACTCTGTCACCACAATCCCATAAAGAAATCCACAGAGACAAGCCATGTAGAGTTTTCAGTTTCAAACTTGTGTTTAACCACCATTTTATTTTATTTCACTCACACTGGTGGATCTAAATTCAATCACTATAGATACAAGTCAAGATCTTTGTGCAATTTAAAATATTTTCATTTAAGTGTATATTTTACAATTTAGAACAAGTCATCAAATTTCAGACTAAAAGAATGTGAATTAGGTTTTGTTGCTGCTGTCAAATGTCAAAACAGATCAAATTTGACCAGAATGGTATGTAAGGGTTAACGTGTTTGTAATAAATATCTGATGCCGTCCTTACAGCCTAACTAGAGACATGGAATCTATTCGGTGACATGCAAGTAGATCTTTTTGCCTCCAGGGTGAACACACTGCCCCTTGTTCTTCTTCATAGGCGAACAAGATGCACCCCAGGACACTTAATGCACTAGCCCACCAATGGCCAGATGTGCTTCTGTATGCATTTCCCCCAGTGGAAACGATATCTCCAGTTCTAGAGAGAGTACACCTCACTCTGATTCTAGGAGCCTGTTGGTGGCCAACAAAGTCGTGGTATGTGGAGATAATCACCCTATTAGCAGCAAGGCCTTGGCAAGCTTCCTCTCTGCAGGGTGATGGAAGTGATTCATCCACACCCAGATCTCTGGCACCTTCATGCTTACCTGCTGAAAGGTCAAATTTGATAGTTAAGGGTCAGTTCTCTCTTGATGGCCTCGGGGATGTATCGCGCCCAAATGCCACATATTTACCCAAGTTCATTCCTGCAGTTTATAGCTCAATTGAATTTGAGCTTCTGAGCTTTTGGTCCCCTCCTTTTGGATCTGAGAAGCAGAGGAGGATCCATTCTCTGTGTGCGGTGTGTGTGCTACGTACCTACATTGAGAATGTTCTTTTTTGTGACGAGTTGTTTGTCTGCTTTGTTAATCCAGCCAGAGGTAGAGCTTTGTCTAAACAGAGGCTGTCCCACTGGATTATAGAAGCTATCTCACTGACGTACAGCACTAACTGTGAGCCCCAGGTGTGAGAGCTCATTCCGGGTACCTGTAGCTGCACCTAGTTGGCCATCACTGCACACGTTTGTCAGGTGCTATCGTTTGGACATTACAGCCCCTTCGGTAGCTCATACTATCCTTTCTGCTGGGTCACACACAAACACACTAATGTGCTTGTAGTACACTGCGCAGAGCGAGGCGTGTAAATTTGTCGCATACTTAGGTGTTGTACAGAGTGAATCGACTGAAAGGGAACGAACAGTTGTATCTATAACTTCTGTTCCCTGAAGAAGAGGAACGAGGTACAACACAAGGTTCCACCTGCTGCACAGCTTGGTTCGGTAAGGAACAGCTAGCAAACTGAGGGATGACTGTGATGACGGGGGTACATGTGTAGGCGTGGCCATGCGCATGTCATCACTTCAGCCAGGACACACTGGCCGTGATATCCCATACTTATGTGTTGTACCTCATTCCTCTCCTTCAGGGAACAGAAGTTACAAATATAACTGTTTGTTTTTGAACAGATGTGTGTTTTTATTTATGATCCTGAAGAAACACACTGAAACATCTGTAAAACAAAAAAAAACAAAACAAAAGAAACCAAACTCAGTGTTTTTTACAGATGTTTTCCACACTTTTAGACAGTATATCATGTAAGGAAGTATGAGGGAACAATTTGATTTATAAAATCTTTAACTTTATAAAGAATCCACAGAATCGTTCAATGAGGGGGGAAAAAAGAAAATAAGGGGCATCACAACCAGAAAGCTGATTTTCTTGTAACATAACAGATGTTGATTTGTGGTGAATAGATGCGAGTTATTTCCTGATGGTCGGTGAGGTCTTTGAGTTTTCCCTGGGCCTACTTCGAGGTAATGAAGTCCTCTGATGTAGCCCAACACGCTCCTCGGTCACATGAATAAATGATGTAAATGTCGGCAAAAGGGCACTTTTTGAAGAGCCACCTCATTTCACTTAGTGA